TTATTATGAAAAACATCTTTTAATTATTATGACAACTTATGATATACATGTAACAGTATCACTATATGAAAAGAAGGATTATTCTTATGAAAGTACTATGGTAATTAGTGATACATTTTTAATTTGTGTTACTAGATACAAATCATTACAATAGTACTATAAATGTAGCAAAAATAAAAGGGAGAAAGACAAAACTAACTTACCAAAGTAAGTGACATTAAAGTGTTTTGTATTAGTCCCAGCACTAGTCGTGACCAGTACTGTATAGTTACCAGTCACTTCTTCACTGGGCCCCATTATACTACATACTGTTGAGTCTTCACTGATAGTGTAGTAAGGACTGGAGTTATCTATAGTCATGTTGTTGTGGTACCAAGTGATGCTTGAAGGAGAAGGAAGTGGAGAACCGTCTGTGTATATGATAAGAGAAAGGTTAGTGTGGTTGTTCACTCTGAAGGTAGAGAGAGGAGAATATACTGCTGGATTAGCTATAGGAGGGGAGAGAGAGAGAGAGAGAGGGAGAGAGAGAGAGAGAGATACATGCATTAAGTTTTTGCACCATAACACAACAGCATACTTTCACTCAAAACAAATAAATAAAAACAGTAAATAAACAATCAAGCAATAATTTAGTGAAAATCAAAAAAATTAAAAAATTAATTTTTATACCATCAGTAATGAAGACAGTCTCTTCCTCTCCAGCAGTAGAAGTACAGGTATAATATCCACTATCGGCCATTTGAAAACTCTCAAAAGCTAAACTACGAAACGATGTTGAAGTACTAAACTGACGAGGACTTCCAGAAGCCTCAGATGCTATACTGGCCCCGCCCCCTTGTCCTCCTGACCAATCAAATTCTCCCGTTCCCTGACATTCAATATTAAAATTTGATGAAGTAGGCACATACAGTAGAGGTGACGTCACTAAACTAGATTCATTATTAGTATCAATAAGCATCAGTCGAATGGATCCTATAGGAGAGGGTGCAGTTATGGGTGTGGTCATTAGTTATTAATAGTTATTAACCTGTGATATTGAGAGTTCCCAGTGATGAAGTATAGTTTGATCCGTTAGTAAAAGATGATGAGCACTGATAAGAACCGGAATCAATCACTCGGACATTAGGTATTGTTAATGTACTGATCATCTAAATAATAAATATTAATAACTTTTAATAACCAGTAATAACTAGTAATAACTATTTATAACTATTAATAACTAGTAACAACTATTAATATAACTTACGGTATTCTCTCCATTGCTTTGTGTACTAATGTTAGTGTTTACTGGAAGAGCCCCATTCAGTTTGCTCCAGCTAATGTTAAAGGAAGCTCCGGCCATTACAGTACAAGAAAGACTAATGGAGGACCATTCCTTCACTCCTGACACATTCTGAGGACCTGATACTATAGTAGGAGGAGCTAGAGAGAGAGAGAGAGGGAGGGGTAAAAGGTGTAAATATTACTTAAACTGTTAACAATATTAACAAGAGCTCCACAAGGAGCTATATCTCCATATATATGACTAAAAGTACACAGCACACAAATGACATCATCATACATACACACACACATACATGTACATGTACATGTACTTTGTTCTGATATACATGTACATGTATGACACTTACATTACATAATAGTTTAAATTATATATGAGAACTATAATCTCCATATTTGCACATATACACAGCACATGAATGAGCTCATAAATGTACATATACATACAGTAATTGAACACACATGTACATGTACACATGTATATGTATATGTATAGCCACATGTTATAGTGCTGGTTATGTTTATTGGAGGACACACTGTCTGTTATTTTGTTGCTAAACAATTAATTAGAAAATAGCTTTGAGCTAATTATGAGCAATAGCAATATTTTATGCTTGAAAGAAAATATTTTAATGATTATCGTAATGGCAAAGGTTGAGAGAGAGAGAGAGGAAGAGAGAGAGAAAGAGAGAGAGAGAGAGGGGGGAGAGAGAGAGGGGGGAGAGAGAGAGAGAGGGGGGGAGAGAGAGGGGGGGAGAGAGACCTTTAACATTAAGAAGAGCAGTCTTACTTATAACAATGAGGTCAACAGTTGCTGATTCGGTTTTTTTAAGAGCACCTGTACCAGAAGCCACAGCGAATAGATACGTTCCATTATCAGAGGCAGCTGCCGATGGAATGTAAAGACTTCTTTTCCAGGAATTAAAAAGTCCTGATGTCAATTCAATGCCGTTGAGTCTCCATGCTATATCAGCTGGTTGAATAGGCTGTACAGCTGAAGCATAGAACTCAATAGTAACTGGAGACCCACCAACAACTGTCAGTAATGGATTGACGGCTTGAGCAACCGGGCTAGCTATATAGGGAGAGAAAAAAATATTGAATTAATCTTGTAAAGAATATTAAATTGTATCAATAAATAACACACTTGAAATGAAATTCTAAAATAATAATTATTCATCATTTACCATGTGTGATGTTCAGCATCTCTTCTTCATTATTTGCTGAATCTCTGCAAATGTATATACCAGCATCAGTTGCAACAGGATTGCTAAATAACATGATTACAGAGTCATCGCCAGCACTCTGTTGAGATTTTCCTAAAGAACCTTCGTCCAGAGACCAGCTTAGAGAAGGATTAGGTTGATCTGAATGACAAATGAAGACAAATGTCTGAGATGCAACACCTCCATGGTCATATGAGGCTAGCCCTTCAACTCTCCAACAAGTATTTGATGTTAAATTACACGAGGTAGCATCTTCATGTCTTTGATAAAATGTAATCTTAGCTGCATGAGAGAATGAGAGAGAGGGAGAGAGAGAGGGAGAGAGAGAGAGAGAGAGAGAGAGAGAGAGAGGGAGAGAGGGAGAGAAAGAGAGAGAGAAAGAGAGAGGGGGAGGGAGGGAGAGGGAGGGTAAGAAAGATGACAGACATGCCTTGTGATATGTGACATACGCTTGGCCAAGAATCAGTGCAACAATTTGCACTATGACCAATGATTATTGTAAGGACAATCACTTCACATTGCAAGGATAATGACAAGTCATACATGCATAATATATTAATAATAATAATAATAGTAACACAATCATGAGATCAACTTATTATAACACAACAATAAAATACACCGTAATCATCATCATCATCATTATTATTACTATTATTTAATTTTAAATTCACGTTGCATGTGGATCGAAATATAAACAAGCAAAATAGCAAGATGCTTTCAATTTGCAATGAACTCAAAGAAACATCTGCCTCTCCCTCTCCCTCTCGCCTTAGGGCTAATGGTGGAGGAGGACTGAGAAAGTACGAATGGATACAACTTGTAAATGTCCTCCCTGCCTCTCCTACCTCTCAAATTCTCATTCAAGGAATGTGTTAATACAAAGTGTGAAATCATTTGATGCTATAGCATAGTGTCATTGTTACTATACATAAACTGATGTATTGTAGTTTACAGTGAGTATTATTGGGGGTCAGTAAGTAGGGGGTTATATAATAGGAAAATGAGTCAGAAAGAAAGAGAAACCAAGAAAGACTTTACAAACTATACCATAGGACAGGACATAACATATGAAACAAAAGAAAGATAGAGAGAGAGAGAGAGAGAGAGGGGGGGAACTAAAATATACTTAAGTACAAAACCAAAGAGACACTAAGTTATGGTTGACACCAAGTTTCTATAGACACTAAATTACTGTAAGGAACCTGTGGGCAAGGTTGCTCCAGGCTAGTTTAGCAGTCAGCAGTAGCTGCCTCCTTATAATGTCAGGAAACACAAGAAAATACACATTGTACAACTACCAGTCACTGAACCACCCATCCTCTACCGGACATACAAAGCTATCACAAAGGACAAATTAGGAAATAGTGAAACACTTTGTGCTGGCAGTAACAAGGCACCTTTCTCACACATAACATACCACACGGTCATACTTAAATGAATTATCTCACGTATAAAGCATTCATTATTAGTCACTGTGCTATAGTACACAGTCTCGGGCCGAATTTTGCCAAAATTGAAAAGTAAGAAATTCTCAATTTTTATACTATTTTCAGATGCATATACACGTTTTTATGTTGCGTAGAATTTTTGAGCTGATTCAGATCAAAAACAAATTATCAATGAATTTTTAAAGTTTCTCCAAAATCGAGTCTGCAAAGAGCAACTAATAACAGGAGATGTGGTTGCATATTGAAAGATCGGATGTGTACCGATTGAATGTGTATGGATACGCGAGACTAAAAGCAAACAAGAAACTCAATGGGGAACTTGCAGAGAATGTTATCATAGCTAAAATATCCTGTACAAAGCATAGCCTGAAGGCATGGGACACAATAGAACTGGGAATTCATATATGTACACACACAAATGAGATTTATAGTACTATAGCACACACATCATTATTATGCTAAGACAATGGAGTGCTATTCAGTACAGGTTCAAGAGTTGCCAATAATGATGTGTGATGATGCTAAAGTTTAATGAGCTGCAATGTAAATATATCATGACATTAAACTCTCTGTAATACAATAATGGTAGTGATGAAAAAAGTAAAATAATATTATTAGAAAGGAAAGAAACTAGAGGGAATGTGATATGGTGGTGTTTGTTACAACTGAATTGATGAGTACTACAAGTACAAGTGTAATTGACTGGGGAATGCAATTGGAAAAATAATGATCACAAATAATGCAAAAAGTGACTGACAGGAGAGTCTATTATGCTTATTATTATAACTATAATAATATTTTGTATGAAAACCGGAATAAATAGCTGATACCGTCAAACAATGATGAAGATGATGATGATAATAATAATAATAATAATAATAAAGGACAAAAAATAGAGTGCTAATAATGGTGGCAAGGGATCAATTTGATCTCCCACTTTTCCTTTGACATGCAACAGAAAGCATGAGTGCCCTAGTCCCACCTAGGTTTAGGTAGGTTAGACACCACAGCTATGGAGGAGAAGGAAGCAATCAAAACTGTAAGCAGAGAAGTATGAAACCAAACTAAGTCTAACCAATAACCACCATAAATATTGCATTATAAAACCACATAAAAAATATGTGGATAAGTCGCTTCTAAACAGAAAGTACAACTGGATATCAGTAAACTGTTAGCATTGGTTTATTCACGGCAATTGTGCTTACACATTTTACAGCATTTAGTTATGGCTCAGCGAGCAGGTTAACGAGGCGAGCTATGAGCCTGCTGGCTAAACAACATACCACACTGCCTGCGTACTAAAGGAGGAGATTGAGATACAACTCACCATTCGCTGGTTGCTGCAGGCACAGGAGAAGCAGCACTGAACTCAAACTGATCAACTGCATCGTCAGTCCTCTCCAGGGACTTGAAAGAAATGAACGCGAGAAAGTCTTAGTGTAGTAGCAGGTTCTTGCTTGTTTTTTGGCGGCCCTGTGTATCTCCCAGGAGCAGAGAAGGAGAGAGAGAGAGAAGGCACAAATATTCTACTCAAGACTTGAAAATGTGCATAAATTGCACTTTAGCTCATGAATTAGTACTTGTCAATAAGCCACGCCTTCATAAAATTCATAGGATAAAAATTATTATTTTACCACTTAAATCATTTTTACATTTAAGATTCTCTCACAAATCTCTGTTTTAAAAACCTCCCCCTTTCCATCCATCAAACCCTCTTCCCACCGGCCACTAAGTCTTTCTCAGTTTAGCTGCTACTCCAGCAGCAGTAGTAGAAGGGGCAGGGTTCCTTCTCCTCTCGTTAAGAGGGTTTCGTGGATCATAGATATCGTAATAATTGGCATCTTTCTTGCTGGCATCTTTAGCCAGGACTATCTTCTCTTCGTTGAATGTAATTTGATCTGTAAACCTGCAGGGGAGAATTTATAACTAAATACAGTGTAGCCTCTTTATTATATGGAGATGCATGTCCTTAATATAGGGGGTAAACAAGTGATAGTGATTATTAGGATAAACAGAAAATTTTCCTGCTTTTGGCAAATAGCAATTAACAGGAAATGTAGTAATTCTAAGGTCATAGGAAGCGGTCATCTTGGCACAATCAAACAGCATTCAATAATAATAATAAATTGCTAATAATAAGGTATATAACAGAGAAACAAAACGAAGCCAATGGAGTGGATTGTTTTGCAAATATTTAGTGACTGATTTGGACGTATTGCTAAGCAACAACCACCCACACTTATAGTATGATTAAAATTTTTTTGGCCAAAATTTTGTACAGTAATACTTACTGACACTTACCAATTTCTAGTGCCAGTTTCTTTTTCGGCTTTGGCTTCCCCTTCTCCCTCGAGCAGAGGAACGGGTCCCAACTCTTTCTCTCTTTCTCTCTCCTCCTCGGCCTCTTTAGCTCTTTTCATCTTCTCTTCTCGGGATTGACCTAGTCTTGATTTAAATTTAGCTAAGAGGTCCATTGTCTAAGAGAAGTGTAGGAGGAGGGGGAGAGGGTGAGAGTGACAGATAGAAAAACACATACAGTGATTAACAGTTATGCCGCTAAATGAAACGTGTTAACAAGTGATGAATGTCAAGCTTGAAAATCAATTTATTGAAATGAAAATTCCCTTGTCATAAACCTTAGCTTTTAAAAGAGTAAAACTCTCTTTTAATGATTAGCTGCAAGCCCACAACTGTAAATTAAAAGTCCACAAGTTTATCAATCGTCATTAAGAGCTGGGCTGTGTTAATAACTATTGCAAAGCTGTGAAAGTCGCAACTGCAGAAGTTTCGGTTTTTTAAATAGTAAAATTAAGTTTTTACTCCACAATACTATGCAGTAATTATCTTTCTTTCTCTCTCTTTCTTTGGGTCTGATGCTTACCGATATTTCTCTCTCTCCTCCTTTTTTCAACATTTTCTTGGACATGTAGCGAGCCCTGACTTGTCTTATCTCTTTTACAGCTGCAGGGATATCTAGAGAGAGAGGAGAGATTAAAGTCAAAAACATACTTAAGTATATTGTAATCTTAATACTTTTAGTTTTATGTGTATTTATAATAAATGTTTGCCATGTCCTACATAACCACTAACTTGCTTATCTCTAATATCTATATAATTTGATATGACCTATTCTATTTATTCTCATTTCCACTTCTAATATTCAAAGATTAGCATTTTAAATGGAACAAGATTAAGCATTTAATCACAGTTGATGTCAACAACAAATTATCATTTACTAATTTCATTTAGCAAGGCACACCTAACCATATTACAATGGATGACAAATATTTAAATTAATTTGTAGCTGCCAGGATTCTAGCAATGATCAAAATAATAAAAATAAATTAATCAGTGAAAGAATTTTAATATATTATTAATAAGGAACCTACTACATCACTTCTTTCTAACTAAAGGTAATTAGTCATTTTGGTCTTCAGCTACACTCTATTTTATCCTTCTCTTAAACTTGATATTATTAATCATATTGATCATATTTTTCTGCCATGTCCCATGTTGTTAATATACAACCAGCCATTTTAAGGAGTCAAACCTAATCATTCTTTACAAGCAACTGCAGCGACCTTACGCTCTTAATAACTTCTTAGATTACTCGTTAATAACCATTATTTATAATAATAATAATAAAATTGTTATTTTTGAATATTAACAGTCAAATTTGAGCAGTTACTGAAAGCAATTCATGGTTCATTAATGTAACAAAATCCCTGGCAATTTTAGCATATACATGTAGATTTGCCGATTGCCAAAATAAAATCTGCCAATTTTCTGTAATTGGCTAGCCTAAACACTATAGGCTATTAGTAAACACATTCCTTTAGCATCACTCTCTCCTCCTCCCTCCCCTCTCTCTCTCCTCCACTTGTTTATCGGTACTACTGTTGTGGTTAACGAGGCATGACAATAATCTCGGATTAATGATATTCATAGTTCAGTATAGTAAAGGAGTTACCTTGTAGACTAGTAAATAAAGGGACAGACACTATAGTCACAAAGACGACCCTTTTGCTTCATAGTAAATACAATATGTTCATCATTGTGTACCAAATAACATAATAAATAAATATTTCTCATTTTTTATCATAGCCACACACGTTTTTATATATCCATAATACAGCTGGTAATTTTAGACGGGGGAAATTGTGGTGAACTTATGTTTTGATAGACATTTGTTATAGTAAGGTCAGCCATTTTGACCCATTGTTTACGTGCTCAGTGGCACATGGTCACAAATTCGCCAAATTAAGAACCACAAATCAACAAAAGTATCAGTATCAAATTAACCAAAACTTCCCTCTTCAAAATTTCCAGCTGTACATTATATACATGTTTTTTTAGGATACTGTACATATAAGTGTGACTGAGATAGAAATCAACAGATAAATAGTATATAGAACATGTATAGTATACAGTACTTATGTACAAGTATAATAGTTCCTCTTATTTGAGAGAGAATACATGTACATATATGTAGATGTACATACATATACCTTAAGCCTACTATTATTTGTGTCTACTAATTTTAGTGAAATCAGCAAAAGTCATGTTTAGCGTTACTAATTTTAGCGTTTTTAACCAAATTAACTTTAAATAATAACCATTATAACGAATAATAATTATTTTGGCGTCTATTTAATTTAGCGATTTAAAGCTCTCTCGCTAATATAGCTAAATTTAGTAGACGCTAAAAATAGTAGGCTTAAGGTAATGTACATGTACATGTATAAATAAATTATCCGTGATTGTGCCTTCATAAAATGTCAGCTATTGTTGCTATTGTTCCAGGTGGGTATTCGTAGTACTTGCGCCACTTTTTGTGTAAATTTTTGCTCTGCTAGCTTCAGTTAGGATCAAACAGTATTTGCAAGTCAAAGGGTCTTTCATCTTCTTTTGTATTCCACTGCTGATATACTAATGATATTAACATGTCGGTAGTAGCTGAAACAATATACCATTGAATTGAATTGAGCAAAATTCTTTTTAAAAGCATTTTTGCTACGGGCACTTTTTAATTTGGTGATTTTAACTGGCAAGAACATTAATATTTATTTATTTAAATATAAGTAATTTTGACTTTAATTCGCCATTTGCCAAAATAAATTAATTTTAGCCAAATTAAAGTGCTATACACAGTATATGCAATATACAATAATATACTAATAATATACTAATAATATACAATAATATACAATAATATACAAGGTACATGTAATGTGTAGCAGAGACAGTCAAAGGAAATAGGGTGAATAACAATAATATTAAATCACACTATCATCATTGCTATTGGAGTAATAAGATATGAAGGTATAATATTCACAAAATCTCTTTCATTTTAACTGTCTCAACCACATTTATACATCTGTCACCACACCAGTACTACTCAAAAATGTACCCTCTCTCTTCCTCTCCCTCCCTCTGTCTCTCTCTCCTTCTCTTTCGGTCTTTCCCTCTACTCACTTTCCTCTTTCCTTTTTCTCTCCAGCTCGTCCATCAGTTCTTTCCTTTTGGCATCTCTGATCTCCTTTGACAATAACTTAGCCTGCAATTTCAATTCATTACTAAAGAAAGAGAGAGAGGAGAAAGGAGAAAGGGAGAGAAAGAAGAAGAGAAGGAGAGAGAAGCAGAAAGAGGGAAAGAAGAGAGAGAAAGAGAGAAAGAAAGAAAGGGCAGAAATATTTAAGTAACTAAAGGAGGAAGGGTGTACTAGTTGTGGGTACAATAGTATTTACTATCTAACTTAATTTACTTATTAGGAAACACAACTACAAATAATGTGACCCATAATGTATTAATACAAACAGTCAAACACACACACATACACATGAACCACTATACAGGCATAATACAAGAGCATGTATGTAGTAATGTACATGTATATGTATATGTACATAGAATATAAAGAAATAAACAATTTTTGTGATTTGATTCTTAACATAAGAACTACATAGTGAGTGCTATTATCATTCTCTCTCTTTTGGTAATAAACCATACAATAATAATTAGATTATTAATTAATAATAGAGAGAGTATGCTTAATGATATTCATAGTCATTAATTGTTTTGTATTATATGTGTGAGGTAAATTGGCGGACTGCTATAAGCAGCAGCTGCTACTACAAGTTACAACAAACAAATTGATTTATAATTACTGCTATGGAAGGATTGTAGACTTAAACTATACAGCATAAGGACATCAATATGTATCAGAAAATGTAATAAAAATTGGGGGTGATTTTTTAGTCATTTTTTGGAAAAAACCATGGGCTA